TGTTAAGCAATTATTTCATCCAAAGCAGCTTAAACTTTGATTACTGTATAGTGTGTACAGGGATCAAAGTAAAACCATCAGCTGCTTCAAACAGCTCCCTGCTGAAACAGGCACAAGTGTCTGTCCCACACCCGGGTGGATGCCAATACATAAGCAGTAAGGAGAGCAGGCTTGATGACCTGGAGGTTCTTGGCAGCTCCCAAGCCCATCCTTCTGCCTGAAGGGGAGCCTCGTTTGTCCAGGGTGGTTAAATGTCCAGCAAACATGTAGGTAATGAAGCAGATGTGAAGCGACAGATCTGCCAGGGCTGCTCAAGGAAAGGGGCTCTCATGGTGCGCGGCACCAGCTGTCCCTCCTGGAGTAACACCCCACACTTCCCAGCCCCAAGGATGCTCTCCCGCACCCCAAAAGGCATGGAAAGCAAAGCAGCGCTTGGCTCTGAGGTACACAAGGGGGATCCCATCCCAATCCAGCTCAGACCCGCACCAGAGCAGAGGCACTCTCGTCCTGCCTGGGAGCGGGTCAGCAGAGGACAGGGCTGAGCCTGCAGCGCACACACTGCTTTGCTTCACCACCCCACAACTTAAGCCCTCAAAGAGGCATTTTTGGTAGCTCAGAGGCCTCACACCAGCCCCTCTGCTCAAGGCCAGGCTGAGCCCAGGCGCCAGGGAGCCGCTGAAGTCCGGGCTGCTGCTATGGAACAGAGACATGGGAACCCAAACCAGCATCAGCTCCAGCAGGGCAACAGGGAGGGGTTCATCACCAGGGGCTTGGGCTAATCCCCATAATATCTGGCTGACAGCATGGGGAAGGAATGCTGGACCATTGTTTCTAAGTAGCCCAGACAGGGCTGAGAGGAAAACAAGCTGGTGGCTCCTCAACCCCAGACGGATCCAGGAGCCAACAAGGATACACAGACTGTCAGGAATCTCCTGCTTGAAGCCATCCCTAATGAGAGCAGACTTTAACCTGAGCGCTGCTCCAAAGCCCCTCTTGCAGCCGGCTGCAAAGCACTGCCTGACACAAGTAGAGCACATCCCAATTAGGAGATGAAGCAGACCTTCTCCTCCCTTTGTGTGAGGCTAATGGGCTCCCTCATCCAAGTCATTTCCCGAATAATGGGCCCCAGATCCTAGAGCACAAACCCTTATAAATCAGGACTGTCCCCAACGCAGCCACCAAGCGTTCACAGAGGAGCAAAGGCTGGGACATGAGCAGCAATGGAATTTGCTGTGGACTCCTGGAGAGGCAGGGCTGGGATCCCCAGTGCCATAGCAGGGCATTGCCATGGCCCTCCAGGCCCAGAGCAGCACCCCCGGGGTGCTGGTTACAGGTTTAGGCGCAAAGAGGACATAGAGCTGCTGCTGTGATAAGCCTGATACAACCCATGAGGGCATCATCCCACAGTTTGCAGGGCTGGGGGCTTTTCCAGCCCATTCTGCTATGGGCAGGTTTAGGACACTAAGAAAACACGCACAATTCTTCACAGAGCAGACAGGAGGGTCCGTACAGCTGCAGGAAGCAGCTCGAGCTCACAGATGCTCCAATGTCAGCCTGGTTGGCACAGGAGAGGGGTCTCACAAATACCATTTAGGTTCCAGTTTGGGGTTGTAGCCTTGCGAAAAGCACTGGATTCCCAAGACACCTGCCCCCGGTCCAGAGGACGAGCCCTGTCCCTCCCTCCCAGCCCCGAGGAGCCTCTGAGGAAGTTGTCAAACCCCGTGATAAAGGCAGGGCTGGAGGAGCAGGTAAAAGGTAGCGCCCTGACCACGCTCGAGCGCGTGGCGGCAGGTAAATTGCTTTTTAACAAGCAGACAACTCCTCTCCATCGCATCTCCCGTATGTTTCTATAAAGGGCAGAAATGTGTTTTTAAAGGGCCAGCAAATAAAGTTCCCATCGATTTGATCCCCGGTGTAATCCGTTTTGCTGTCTGCCACCAACCACGGTAATAAAACAGCATCATGTAACGCGCCGTTCCGGGTAATGTGACTATACATCATGGCAGGGGCCGTGATCTATCATTTTCCACTGGGATTGCTTAGCTGCAGGATTTATAAACTCGCCCCAAATTGATGCAATGTCCAATTTTCTTTTCCAATTTATTTTTGGTTGAGCAAAGCAATATCAAGGCAGGACCAGGAGGACGCCGGTCCCCCACTGATGTGGGCCTCTGTTCCCACTTCCTCCTTGGCCTGGGAAAGGGCTTGGGGTGGTCAGGAAGATGCCAACGTGCTTTAATGGCTGCGTTTGGTGTTTTGCCCCCGTCGCATCATTGTGGTGCTACCCAGAGGTTGCATGGGACGCCCTCGGTGTTACCCGATGCTCAGAGGGGTCTTTAGCAAGGACCGAGCATCCTCAGCATCACCAAGCTGCATCGCACATCCCCACCAGCAGGACAGACCAAGCGGCCGCTCTGCTCCAGCTCAAGGCTGAGGCAAAGGCACTTCCCCACGCCCAGGGAAGGTTTGTGCCTCTGAACCTAAAGGATTTCCAGGGTACCTGAGCCATCTTATCCCTCTGCCTGAGGATGCTGAGCAACCAGATGTAACCGCAGCTTCCATCACACCAAATAAGGGGTCTTTAGGGGAGGCAAAGTGATGTTCAATCAAGCTGGGTGCAATGGCCAAGTGTCTGAACAGGGCAACCATGATATTCAATATTAATGTATTAAACCCCCTATGAATGCACAGGAGATGAGGCATTGGTTTCCCCAGCAGTGGTAGGTGCCTCTCAAAGCTCAGCTTCACAAGCTACCACCCCACTTGGCCACCCTTCACCCACAAGCCCATTGACGTTGCCTTCACCAAGGAGCATCAAGGCTGCGAGCAGAGACCTTGGGTACGAGCAGGGTGAAGCGTGGCCCCCAGGAGCACGGAATGAGGATGGGGAATGTCCCATTCCCCCCGCTCGGAGGAGGATTTCCGGAGCTAACACACAAACACTCCGCATTTGGCTGGGGTTGGTGGTTGTTTTTCCGCAGGAGACGCGGTGTTCCACGGGAAGCAGACACTTCCCACACGAGTTTGCATCCTCAAACCCCAGCTCCTCTGCCGCCGATTCCGATGGGAAAAGCATCGCCAGCCTTTTGCCCAGCCCATTTCTCACCCCTCCATCCATGGGATCACCGAGCCTCGGCAGGGCGATAGCACCCCGCTGTGCTGGGAAGCATCACTTAGGGATGGAGATAACTTTAGCACAGGTTTCCCATTCTCACTTGGGAATTACGGAAAGACAAATCCAGTTTCCTGACCTTAGAAATCCCATCATAAACCAGAAAAAGCAACCCCATCGCCTGTGCACGCCTCAGCCCTGGCACAGGATGTGGCAGCTCTCCTTCCCACTCACTTCAGGGGGATTTTTAGCAGGGAAAAAGATGATCCCAAAGCATCCTGACAGGTTTGGGAGAGAATCCATCCATTCCCATAGAGAAAAACCTGAGGAATTCAGAACCAGTTCTCTGCAACCAATTCAAAGCTATCCAGTCCTCCCAAGGACCTGCCCATCCCAGTGCCACAGCGGTCATCCCATCCCAAGCATGGTGCACACAGACAGCTCCAAAGCCAAAGCTCACCTGCTTTGTTTTCAGGTTCACAGATCCAAAGCCTTTATCCCCCCCAACACGTCCCAGGGTCTGGGCCTGCTTAGCCCCAAAGTCCTCTCCCCACAGCATCATTTGCTGGGCAGAGCAACATCCATCAGCATCACCACAGCCCAGGCCCTGCCCTTCTCCCTGCTTTCCAGGACAACAACAAGCAGCAAGTGCCTGCATCCCCGGGAAGCCTCCAACTCCTGGAAAGCCACACACAAGTGAGGGATGAATCCATGAACAGCATCCAGTGCGGGTGGGTTAACCCTTTGGAGGAATCGGACATCTTTAAGGCAAGAGTTTTACTTCAACCCATGTGATCAACAGGGGGAAGAGACTTCCCAGACGGCAACGAAGCAGCCAGGAAAACTGATTCTTGCCACTTTAAGGTACCAACAGAGCCTCCCCCTTAGCGGGGTTGGAGTCAGCGCTGGGGAAGCCGCAATGGGCTGCTGGCAAGGATCGCGGCAGGGTTTGGGGACAAGGCTGATGCCACCACATCCTCTGATGGGCACAGCGGGATGCTGCGATCCCAACCCCTAGCACAGACCTGCACGGAACCGCATCCATCCTCCTCCTCCTCCTCCTCCCCTGCCCAGGACAGCCCCGGTCCACCGGGAGCGCCCAGCGCTGGAGCTCGGGAAGTTCAATGCTGCCACCCGGTGGCGGCGAGCGGCAACAGCAGCTTCGGGGGCCGGAGGGGGGGGGGGTCAGGATCAAGCTCGGGTTTGCTTTAAGAAGTTCAGGGGAAGTTTAAAACGCGACGGAAACGGCACCAAATGAGACGAAAACGTTCTCATGGAACGGGGGGGGTTGGGAGGGACCTCAGAGCTCCTCCAGCTCCAACCCCTGCCAGGGGCAGGGACCCCTTCCACTGGAGCATCTTGCTCCAAGCCCCTGTGTCCAACCTGGCCTTGAGCACTGCCAGGGATGGGGCAGCCACAGCTTCTCTGGGCACCCTGTGCCAGCGCCTCAGCACCCTCACAGGGAAGAGCTTCTGCCTCAGAGCTCATCTCAGTCTCCCCTCGGGCAGGTTAAAGCCATTCCCCTTGGCCTGTCCCTACATGGCCCCTACCAGCGGGAGCGTGTGGAGTTTCAGTTTACCCGCAGCTCAACCTCAAACCAAACCCCTGAAGCACAGGAAAGCAGCTTAGAAAGTCACCCAATAACCAGCTCCTGCGGCTGATGGCACTTTGCCCACGGGACAAGGCTACCAAGCAACGCACGGCACTGCGCAAACACCTCCCAGGCCATCCCCAGCACCCGAAGCAAAGGCACTGAGCTTCCCTGCCTGCCCAGAGCTCAAAGTCCAAGCGCACACATGCGTAAGCAATGCTTTCCCAATGGATTCCTCCCCTGTGACCCGGATACACCTCGAGTTAACAGCAAAGCTCAGAGCAGCGCAGGACTCACCTTGTCAGCCTGCGGGTACCGGACACGGGGGCTGCCCCATTCCCTGCTGATACGCTCCCGGTACTGGTGGCACTTGGGGATGTACGAGCAGCTCACGTCGCCCAGCTCCGGGTAAATGACTTCCAAATCCCCTCTGGAGAGACAAAGGAGAGGACGCAGGATGGATGAGGAGACACCGTGCAGTGGATGGGAATCAGCGCCACTTCCCAGCCAGGCTTGAGCTCTGGTTCCAATGCTGGGCAGGGGATGCAGGATCCAGCTTGCTGCCACCAAGCGTGGCACCTTGTGCACCAGGATAAGCACCCTCCTGCGCACACCCGAGAGGGGCCACGTTCTCCACAGGCTTTAAAAGAATCATGGCCTATGGGGTGAATTTAAGGCTTGAAGATGGGGAGGAGGAGAACAAAGCCACCCTCACCCCCTTGGCTGCAGACAAGCAGCTTGAACCGAGTCTCCTCGTGACGTGGGAGCTTGGATGAGCCTGCTCTGCTCTGGGTACTGACAGTGCAGCAGCAGGGCAGGTGCCTCCAGCTCCAACCTGAAGCACTTTCCTCTCCACATCATCTAACGGAGGAAGGGGCCACCAGGACAAGCTGTTGGGTACCACAGCTTGTGTGCAGCGAGCCTCAAGGCCACCAACACGACATCAGCATCCCCGTGGCACAACCTGAGGTGTGCAGGATGAACCGCTCCAGAACTTCCCTTCCCCAAGGAGCAGCCTCCTCCCTCTGGAACTCCCCATGGAAAACCCAAGGAAGAAAGCAATGGGTACTTATAGCCCTGGCAAAGGGGATGGTGGAATTAACTGTCCCAGAAGGCGATGGGACGCGTGGGGCAGTGCATGGCTGGAGGCAATGGGGAGCCCCTCACCTGCAGAACAAGCTGTCCCCTCCGCTGAGCATCTGGAAGAAGCAGGTCCTGGAAGGTTCATCAGGCCATGGGGCTGCAGCACCAGTCAGGAGAGCAGCCAGAAACAGAGCACCCAGCGGCCTCATCCTGCCCTGTGGGGACCAAGGGACAGCGAGGGTCAGGGCTGTGACCCAGTGCTCCCCCCCAGCAGCCACAGCATCCCCATCACCATGATGCAGCTCAGCCCCATCAGAAGCCAGCTCCAGGCCGAGCACACCCATCCTTACACATCATTCCCACCTCACCCCAGTTCCACATCAGTCACCCCAACAACGTCACAGATAAACCGTGCTCCCTGCTGCTGCTCCATGCAGGAAACATGGGACCACCGGCAGGCTTGCAGCAAGACCCTCCCCATCTCAGAAGAGCCACTTCTGCCTGCCTACAAGGATGGCACCAGGGATGCGCAGACAGGACAGCAGCAGAGCAGCTACAGCCACCACTGCCACCACTGCGACGCTGCACTCCAAGCCCAAGCAACACCAAGAGGGAACAGAGCCCCTGCTCCCTGCTGCTCTTCCTAGGACTCAGAGGAGATGGGAAAGATGAAAACTTGGCATCAGGGTTGGCCATGGTCTAACCAAGGCCACTTCCAATGGATGCACAACCAGGCACTGACCAGCATCCCTGACCCCCAGCACAGCATCTGCATGGGGACAGCACCAGGGTCCAATTGAACCCAGCCACAGCCTCTCCTGCACCAGGGCAACGATGACAAAGCACAAACCAAGCCTCGAGGATGAGGGGAGCTGGGACACGGGGTGCAGACACCCCCCTCCCTGCCCAGCTCGGCGCCAGCCCTCACCTCCCCTTGCAGCATCCTGAGGGCCCCAGGAGCCCGGAGCAGCAGCCAAGGCCCTTGACTTACCAGCCAGGTCCTGGGGATGGGAGAGCAGCTCTGAGGCAGAGCCTGGAGTTCTGAGGTTGCCGTGGAGATGGTTTCCCTGGAAGGAGGGGGAAGAATGGACTGGAAATGAAAACACAGCCTGGGGAAGGGGCAGCTCGTCCCTAAAGGAGCACGGAAACAGGCGACGGTGCCTTCATCCCGCAGGGATTGGTCCCCGACCCATCCACCAGATTCAGGTCCCCACCTGGCCCACATCCCCCTCTGCACCAGCAGCTTCCCAGCTCATTATACAGGATGCTGCCCAAGTATTTAGTAGCACTGGCCTGTCCTCCCCATTGCCTCATCGGTTCTGGGTGAGGCATAGGCAGAGAAGCCCACTGCCAGTTGGGAATGGGTATTACAGCACTTACTGTATCATTATATAATGAAGTGCCAGCACGCAGAGCGAGCACGAGCGAGTGCCAGCACCACTGTCATTACAGAGAGGAAAAAGGCATGAGGCTTCAGCAATTAGAAACATTAATGTATTGGGAATGATCCGGAGGGTTTAGGGGCTAATGGCTCCGGTTCCCACGCTACAGCATGGGCAAAGCCCATAATTAGAGCCCTGAGCATGCAGGCAGGCTCACGTGAGTAACGCTGCTCCCATCGCAGCCAGGAGCGCTGGCTGGCATGAGTCAGGAGCATCAAAACGGGGCTTACATCCTCCATCAGGCCAAGGGGGTGATACCCCAGCACAGCCACACAGGCAAGGACACCCAGTGTTAATGATGAGAGCTACCAAGAGACCCTGGCATGGGAAGGTGGCTTTGGGAAAAGCAGGATTCCAAACCCCTGTGTCCAACCCGGCCTTGAACACTGTCAGGGATGGGGCAGCCACAGCTTCTCTGGGCAAGCAGCATCACTGTGAGCATCCCCTTGGCTCCTGCAGTGGTTAACATGGGTGACCACGGGGCAGAGGTCACCCAAACAGCAGCAAAAGCCACAGACGGGGTGAACTCCGCACAGAAGCGGAGAGAAGCCCTTCACACAGAGGGAATATCAACCATTCCAATCCGGAGAGCTCCCTAGAGGATCCCCAAACGGGATCAGCACAAAGGGTTTGCTGACAGACAAGGCACAGAAGGATCCCCGGGGGATGCTCTGGAAGGAAAACCCACGGGAGCAACAGCCGCTTGCAGCATCCTTGCTAAGATGAACTCAGCCTTTCTCTGAGCGCTGTTTGCAGAGCAGTGACAAAGATTTAATTTCCCCTGCTCAGGAGCCTGTTGAAAAGGCAGCAGGAAGCCTCAGCAGCAAACCCACGCCATGGAACGGGCTGGGTTGAAGGGACCTTAAAGCTCACCCAGCTCCAACCCCTGCCACAGGCAGGGGCACCTTCCACAAGAACAGCTTGCTCCCAGCCTGTGTCCAACCTGGCTTTGAACACTTCATCACCAGGGTATAAAATCCATGGCAAAGTGATGCACCCGGAGCACAGCTCCTGCAGAGCCAGATGGGTCCCCAGGGGTATGAAGCCATCAGACTTTGATTTAGACTGCGGACCCTGCTGGCTCTGCAGCAGACACAGCCCTGCCTGCACCCCTGCTCCAAGCCTCACAAGCCCATGCAGGAGACGGGCAGCTCCCACCAGCCCATCCTCCTGCCCGTGCTTGGAGCCCTCAGAGCCAGGGAGAACCAATAAACCACGCACTGAGAGCCCACACTGAGCCGCTTCCCCTCCGGAGCGGGATGCTCCCATGGCAGAACACACCGAGAGCGGTGTCAAGGCGGGTGCAGAACAGGAGCCAGCCTCCTCCCCAGTGCGTTTGCATGGCACCTCTCCTGACTAAGAGTGCGGGACCGCAGGAATCTCGTCTTTCCAGCTGCTGGGAAGCCTCCGGCGCGGTGCTGGGGGAAGCTGTGTTCATCCAGGACTTCCACCCTGCGCTCAACGAGATCCTGCCTCCGCTGACGAGGATGCTTCACACCTCCACTACTGGGAATAGTGCTGTAACCCGCTCCTGCATCCGAGCGCCCTCCATCGCCTCACAGGCTGCTGCCAAGGCCCCAGAACCTTACCCAGGGGTGACTGAGAGCATCAGGGCACAGCTCAACCAGAACCCAAAGCATTTCAAGGAACATCAGCTCAACGGGACAGGCTCTCAAAGCTTTCACACGTGCAGAGCCCCCAGCTCTGCTGCTTTTACTTAATGCCGGGTTTTAACACAAACCAAAGGTTTCCAGGTCAGGAATTCCCCATAAATGCTCACGAGACAGCAGCTTTTTGTCCCACCAGGAGCCAAAAGCACACTGTTGGAGCTCTGGAATTTCCCACCCAAGCCACAGACTTCCTGTGGCTGTTAAAGATTAACCAGTGCCATTTCCAACCCACTTCAGGGCTTTTTCCAACTTCACCCGGCACAGCATCCCTGCCCCATAAAAACCTGGTTTATTTGATGCAATCCAAGTTTATCCCATCCCATCCCATGGAGTGACCTCAGCAATCCCCAGCCATTAACTGCCTGCAGGGACAGAGCAAGGAGACGGTGCTGGGCCCCAGTCCCCTCAGGGGCAGCCTTGCCCTGGGCTGTCCCCCCAGGCTGGAACCGGGCATCCCCTGCTGCAGCCCTGGGGTGAATCACAGCGAACCACTCCAGCCCCTTGGGAGCTGCCCCCTTCTCACATGGGGCCAAGGCCGTGGCTTTGCTCTGATGCTCCTGAAAGCAAAGGTTTCACAGGCTCACAGGATGGGAGAGGGCTTCTGCTAAGAGCTCATCTCATCTCCCCTCTGGCAGGTTCAAGCCACTCCCCTTGGCCTGTCCCTACAGGCCCTTGCCCAAAGCCCCTCTCCAGGTTTCTTGAAGCCCCCCCCCCTTAAGCTATTTATTGTTGCTGTGCATTAGCAAAGGCGTTGCTGGGCACTAAATGTCCTCATCCCCCCCCCAAGTCCAACCCAGCTGCTGCAGAAAGAGCTCAGCTCTTCCTTCAAAGTCCAGCATTTCCTGGGATTTGGGCTCCTCCTGCCTCAGTTTCCCCACAGAAACCAATTCCTAGGGCCTGAACGACAGCCAAGAGGCGTTTGTTGGCACGGATCCCCACCGGCAAGCAAAGCACTGGGCAGAGCCCTGGCCAGGGGAATTCCCTGGATCTTTTCTCCTGAAGGGAGCCCATTCCCAGCTGCCTTTTCCCGTGGCACTCGCTCGGCAAAGGAAACAAAACCGCATCCGCTCTCCCCATTCACAACCGGCGGCACCTCCAGCCCTGCTCTCACCTCGTCAGAGCCCGTCCTCCCGCTTCCCCCTCGGCCCCACTCCCAGCGAGTGCCCAAGGTCATCCTCACCTTGCCCCTGCCAGCCCCCAGGCCGAGGGCTTTGTGGGGCCGCTTCGGGGAAGAGTTGAGTGGATTTAGGGAATGCGACGGCTTTATTTCGGCTTGAATCTGCTCCGGGTTCCCCTGGACGGGTCCATGTGCCCCTAAGGATCAGGAGCTGAAGGCATGGGCAGAAACCAACCTGCCCTCCGCTTGCGACCGGAATAAGCCGAATCCAAACCTGCTCAGGGGAGAGCTAGAAAAGGTCCTGAGTGACCAAAGGGGAAGGCTCAGAGCCCCACAGGGGGGTTCAGACCTGCAGCATCCTCCGGGCAGGAATCGCTATGGGATCAGGGAGGGGATGCACGATGCTTTCACCCTTTGAAGCTGCAGCGCCTGCAGGCTCCTGCACTCTCATCCCAACAGAAGATGCAGCGCAGCACACGCTGGGTATCAGAGTAGAGCCAGGGCTGCTGCGAGCCCCCGGAGCCAAGCACCAGCCCCTCTCCCTCATGGGCATCACCGGAGCACCCAGGAGAGGAGGAACATTCCCCGTTTCCCAGGCAATAACCGCATGGCTGGGAGCAGCCCCCCAAGCCTGGCAGCATCACACAGGGAGCCCCCCCCTTCTCCTCCTGGCCTGGCTCCATCCCAAACCTCAGCTCCAGCAGCACCACAAGCAGGAACGTGTCTCAGCCCCTGCAGCACACAACAGCGCCCTGAGTGCAAGGCAGCAGCACCTTCACCCATAGCATCATATGGAGCAGGGATGGGGTGACCACATCTGCATCCCATCCGCACCCCATGAACCCCAGCAGCAAACGGCACATGTGGGGGGCTTGGGGGTGCCACTGCATGGCTGCAGAGCCCAGGCTGGTGACCTTGGTGCAGGCATCCAGCCCGTGGCACAAGTAACCATAGCAGAGCCCACCCTGCCACCAGCAAGCACCTTGTGACTGCTCCTGCCGGAGCTGCAGCTCTTCCTGGAGAAGGGCTTCTATTTTGGGCAGAGTGTTTTCACTTGGCCTATATTAAGCAGTCACAAGGCAGAGCTGTGCAGAGCCTCCTGCCTTCAGAGCCAGCAGCTCCCAGCGGCGCTGCGCTGCTCACCAGGCCCTGCCTGATGCCATCAGCATCCTTGTATTCACACCCTTGCCCAGAGGCACCTCTTGTGCTGGAGCTCCAGCATTAAGGACCCTCCATCCCCGCTCCCAGAGGCGGGAGAAGGAGCCCAGCATGGCTGCAGACACTGACACACAACAGCGCCATGGGGGTCCATATAGTGCTGAGAAAGCCTCAGGTGTGCCCTCTGCTCAACCTGACCCCAGGGATGCTGATGGGCACAGGGACCAGGTTATGGAAGGGTCCCCCAGGTATCTTCACCTCCCTTGCCACCCTTCTCCCACCATTGCACCCTGGCAAGAAGGCGTCTCCCAGCCCCATGGGTGCTCCAGTTGTGATTACAGCCCTTTGGGGATGCCAGCAATAAGGAAATACCCATTCCCCATCCGTGCCAACGGCACGGGCCAGGCTGGGCACTGCTCGTGGGAAAGCCCTAGGGCAGGAGGTTAATGAGGAGCTGGGGATGAGGAAGCAGCATCCTCTGCTCTGACTCAGGCTTGGCTAAACCCGGCCCCACCAGTTGCACCATCAGTTCCCAATGGGCTGGCAGGGCTCTGCTGCCCACCCCGTGCCAGCTGGAGCCAGGGATCCGCAGGGAATCTGGGCTGGCTATAAATAGCACCGTGTGGATTCAGCCTGCATGTGGCTCTTCCCTTCAGTCCACAGCCTGTTTTCTCCCTCTCTGAGGGGAGCACAGGCTGGATGGACCCTGGTAAATCACAGACAAAGCAGGGAGACAGACGGGTTCAATTAGTCCAAATCCCCAATGTACTTACACCAGATTAACCTCTGCACCAATACACCACCAAGCCACACTGAACTGGCTTAACCCTTCCTTAAACGGGGTTAACTGCTCTGCCACGGGGGTTGCATGGGTTTAATGGGCTCAGCTGAGCCCCAGCCCGAGCCCCATCACAGCCCCATGCGGGGGGGGGCCCTGCTCCCTTCAAAGCCTGTTTGGGGCTGGAAAGGGGTGAGGGTGCTCCCCACAGGTACCCAGGATTGGGGGAACTCCTGAG